CTGGAAGCTTAATGATTCTTATTCACAAAAGAAAATAATTCAAAACACTAATGCTATTGTTAGTTGACACATGTTAGGTGCTATTGACAAGGCATCATTGTTGATTTCTGCTGTGATTTTCATGTGATCCTGTTGTGTGTAGCTTTAATTTCCTTTTAAAGAAGCAAGGGTTTACAGATGTAACCATTTGATCTTTACCGCCCATCTTCCTTTCTGAATAGGGTCTGTTCCTTTTCCATATGATGATATTTAGAAAAGTTCGCTTTTGGGGGGAGTGGAGATAGAAGTGGAGCTTTTGTTTTTTATGCTTTGTCCAGTGGCACATTTTTCGGTTGTTTGCACCCATAGAACTAGAATCGGCCTTAAATTTAGAAACAAATTGTAAGCTAAATATTACCTTGGATTATAATCGACAGCATGAAATATAAAATATAGAAATATTAGGCATCTTGAATTTAAGTTTAATTAGTAAAGTTGGTAATATAAGTTAAATCTGCAAGCTCAACTTGGCAAACTATAAAATTATAGTGGGTTAGGTTTCTAAAAATGGATTCATTCAAATGCGGGTCAGGTTAGGCCTACACTGCATAACTTAGACCTAGACCCGAGGTTGGTAGGTTAGCATGCTTATTATTATTTAAAAAAAAAGATAAAAGAGAAATGCAAACCCTGGATCACTCTATTGCTTAGTACCTTAGTCCTAACTATCGTTGTCGCTCACTCGCTTGACTTCTTGGTTATCGACTTCTTGCTAGTGCTTGGTGCTCGCTTCCTTCTTGCATCTTGCTCGCTCATTTAGTTCTTCAATCTCTACTGCATAATCTGCTCGTTAAGGAAACCCAGTTGTTTAGCAAGTCACTCATTCAGCTCTTTACTTTGGTCGTCGCTCTTGTCAATTTGCTTGCCTTAGCTCAATTCAGAGTTCGGAATCTCTCAATCTACCCTTGGCTCAGCTCTTTTACTCGAGCTCCTCATTAATTGAATCTTTTGCTCACTATCTTGCTCGTGCTCAAGGTAAAATGCATAGAATGTTGGTGAGGTGATAACCTAAGAAGAATTTTCATACCCTATTAACCAAATAGAGCAATTAAATGTGAAAAAAAATGAGGGTTTGAGTTTGAAGACCGGGGAAAGACAGAACATGAAGATAAAGAGGGTCAATCCCATATCTAACTCACCCTTTTGCATTAATTTCTATTCCTCAGCAACAAAATCTAGCATAACATATAGTTCAACTGCTTTTTTATGACCAGTTATCATCATATCATACTTGAGTTGGATAGAAAAGAATCTTCACTCTTCATGCCCTCTTCTACATAGATCATATTCTAATTTTATTGGTCTTTGATTGTGATTGTGACATGAATAATTAAACTAAACTATTTGGTATCCCATTTGTAATTATATATGGCAAGAGAGAATTTGCTCATCTAAGAATTGCTTTCTGAACAATATTCTCTTGCTATTGGTGGTATAATTTTCACATTTGACTTTTGCTTGGATGTTATTTCACCCATGTGGATAAGTCTCACTCGTCCTCTTTATCTCCATTAAGGAATTTCCTTAAAAATCATATCATGTTTATCCTTACACCTCATTTAACAATTGGCATTTAACTTCACTGGAAGTAGCCCCTATACATTCTTGCAAGCACTCGTTTTAAGGGGAGAAATCACTGCTTCTAAAAATAATAATTCTGCATTCACATATTATTTATTCTTTTATAATTGTATTTTCTCTTTGAAATTTTAATGGTATGTAATATCATTATTTGTGCCAACATCCATATAAATTTGAGTTGTTTGGTTAGTTATTTCAGCCTCTATTTACTTTAGATAAATTAATCATATGTTGTAGGATGGCTTATGCTGGTGTTACGGATATCAAGCTAATGTGGAAAAACCAACAACTATTGAGTTTGACTCTTTTGTGCGACATAATTCAAATAAAAAAGCTAAAACAAAAGCTTGCACATCTGAAATATGGAAGTATTATACTAAAATTAGTCTAGTAGATGGAAAAGAGAAGGCTACATGCAACGGTTATGGAAAACCATTTGTTATTGGTGGTAGGGACTATGGCATTCTAACCCACACCCATTTTTCTCCACAACTTTATACCATGGCATATGTGGATTTTCATTAGCCATACGTGTCTTCTCCATTTTCATTTAATTAATTTATTAAGTTTAATTAGTCAACAAAGTTTATGTGGGCGTGCCTAATGGTGCGTCCTACCAGCACGACATTTTGTAAAGCCATACTGTGATGTTTCAATCAGTTGGATTGCTCAATATCTATTCATTCCCTTCTTCCAGTGTCTTTTCTTTCTGCCAAGTTCATCATACAATATTGGGTGGGTTCGGTCAATCATGACATACAAAGAAATCAAGGCAGGTTAGCCACACGCTACTGATAACGTTCACAAGGGGAATGCTTGGCAAAACAGAGAGCCCACAGGCAATAGTTAATTTGCAGACTCTGCCCTGAAGAAAGAACGCAAAAAAGGAATCACATCATTTTGTCACTGCAATAAGAAGTTGCAATAATATCTATGGCACCTTGAATATAATATTTGAAAACTACAAACCCCATCCCGTATGAAGAAATTGTCAGAAATCATGCATTTTAATGTTAGGATCGGAAATTAAAAGGACGAGGTTTCCACACTCGCGCATGCTAAAAGTTCAGACTTAAAGCTACTGATTATTTGACCGGACGCTTTCATGCGGGCGTAAGAACACTCGCATGAAATCTGCAGGTAAAGTTCAATAACAGTTATGTGGTTCCCTTTCCCCGTGCACTTGAGGCAGTTCCCGTACCAAAAAAAAAAAAAAAATTGCTTGGGGGCTAGCTACTATTTCTGTACCAGGATTAAACCTTAAAAATAAAGTTAACAAGCGGAATGTATAGAGAAATATACAAATGTCAGATGAAAGACAGACAAATTGTTGATTTCTCGTGCATGATGCACCCATGTATGCAAGTGAGGATACTCCAAAGAAACATTACGAGACTTGATTTCATCCGTCTCTTTGTCCTCATGCGTTTCCACTTTTTCCTCAGCAAGAGTTCCGTTAATTCCATCTCTGGTCATGTAATGGATCAATAGTACGGTTTCCACGTACTATGCTCCTTTTAAGATTAGTATGCCCGTCTTCTTCGAGTTTGAACGAATTAAAAAGGAGACGACTTTCCAATGGAAGTAATTGATTTGGAACCCTGTGACAGGACGAATTTGCTGACGTCTACTTGGATGAGTGTATTGGGACCAAATGATCCACATCATTCATGTAAGCTGATTAATAATCTCGGTGGTCCACACTGGATTAGCTGTCCATCTGTGATGATAGTTGGATACAATACTGGAATTTTAGGGAAAATCAATTTCAACGTTTTTTGTGAAAAATTTCAGCATTTAGAGCTTAGACTTCTGCTTTTTTTCTTTTTTTTTTTGGTGAGACGGGATCTTATATACATTCTAACATATATGAGCATTGCGTTTTATTTTCTAAAACTTAAAAGGTTATTAATGCTTGTTTGGTGGGGAGAAAAATAGTATGCAGGAGGACTAATAATTGATGTGGAGGAAGAGTGGGCTCGCCCATTTCAGCCCTGCCAGTTTAATGCAAATGGGACTTGTCACTTCGTGACTCTTTTCCAAGATAGAGCCCACAATCACTGCGTGTGAGTGTATCTTTTTTTTTTTTTTTAAATAAATAAAGTCCCCCGATCACGTAATTTTATTTAACATGCGGGAACATCAAATTTATTTTACATATCAAGAAATTAATTTTCAGGTGAATTTATATTGCTAATCCATTATGCTTTATTATATATAATGATGATTTCTGTTGACTGAACAATTTTTTTAAATGCAAACGTAATTTAAAATACCTCGATTGACTAACCTATATTAACATGAAAATTTAATTTTAGTGCTTGAACGAACTTTGGCCATCTTTTTCTTTTCAATTTTCTCGCAACACTCGATTTTTCAACATTTGTTTGGCAGAGGGTGAATTTTAAAATTGAAGTTATTACTTTTTATTTTTTGAAGCGTAGGCACGCCCCAATATTATATTCATATCTGCCTCATTTTAATCTTAGGCTTGTCCTCAGGTGAAAAAAAGGTTTATGTTCCATACCCATCTCATTCTATTGGCTCATTTTTTTGACATATTAGTCATTCCTTGGGTGTAGTAATTACATGGTCCTGGGCTCCTGGTTGTTAAAAAAAAAAAAAAAAAAAGCCAGGAGTGAGTACATTTGCGTTCCTGGGCACCCGTTAGTCGTTACTCATTTTTTGCATACCTGGGACCCCCCCTTTTTTAAATGTGAATATATTTGCATTCAACTAACAAAATTTAAGCGTGCGTGGGGGGAAAAAATGTTCACGTGTTATGGGGAGATATTCAAAATTTTTATTTTTATTTTACACAATATTAATACTATTGATGATAAAAATATAAAAAGTCTACTAAATAAACTTGTTATGAGTGTTAAGAGTTTTTATCATGGTTATGTATTTGAATCACAACCCTTATATTTGTATTAATTTAATTAGGAGAGATTTATACTTTTTACCTTTCGTGTCTTGGGAGAAATAATATATGTTATTAGTAGAGTTTTTTCCTTATGTATTTATAATGTTTTGAAGCAATGGACTCGAGAAAATTGTTAGATATGAAAAGTAAAATATTGAAAACAAAACAAAATAATTACGTCTAATATAATTAAAAATAATAAGCATGTCATTATATTTATATATTTAATTAATACTAAAAAATATAAAAAATATCATGATATTATTGTCACGTAAGAAGTATAATAAAATAAAAGCAATAATGGTAAAGACAAATAGACACTGTAGATCTTCCCCCGTGTTCTATTATTTCCTTTCCGGGTCACCGTAGTTTCTCACTTTCGTGTGTCGGTAATGTTTTTTTTTTTTTTTTTTATTTATGCCAGGCAGTAATGATTGATCGCTACCCAGTTCAGATTGCTCAAAAGTTTTTAGTTAGGAGTCATCACCAGTTGCGTTTTCCATTCTTTTTTTGTTCAGGAAAACAGTGATTGTGAAGAGGTCAAGAAATAAAACGGTTGACTTGATATCGGAAAAGGTTGAAAGGTTGTTGAGTGAGGGGTTTACTGCAAGAGCAGGCTACCAAACGGCCAAAGCAGTGTGTTTTGGCTTTTGGGTGCCACCATTCATTTACATTGCAATGCAAAACTTCGATTACCGCCTTCGCCGATCTCCTTTATCACCATGTGGCATACCTTCTGGCGATCTATTGATCGCTTCTCCATTGAGCACTTCAAGTAAGTGTTCCTTTCCTTTTCCCCCCCTTCTCTCTTTTCTTTCTTCCAATGTACTTCACCTTCTTTAGGGTTTGATTTAAACTTTAGCTGCCTGTAAATTGCAATTTTAATCCTTGCGGACAAGCAATGGGTTGTTTAGTTTTGGTTAAGCTTTGATTAATTGTTGAACCCTCCTCAGGCTTCGGCCTGCCTCCTTTATTCAAAAAAAGAAAAAAAAGAAAGAGATGACGCAGAGAATGGATAAAGTGAAAGAAAATCGGATTTCGTTGTGATCTTAGGCTCCGCTATTATTGATTTTGAATGCCTCGAATAACCAGCATTATAATTTTTGGTCATGGATTGGCCATACCATAGTGGAGCCAACATGCACTGATTCGTAAAATGTTGAGGTTTATCACATTTGTTTCAACTGTGCATGCTTTGAGAGTCCTACTTGTGAATGCTTGTTCCGAACCAATTTGACTTGCGACGGCGTACTGATCATATTTGGCCTTGAGTAGCAATGCCCAATTTTGAAGTCTTAGGAATTCACTGAATTAGTCCAATGTTGTAATTTCCTCAATTGAGCAAATTTCTGACACAAACATAAGGGACATTTGATTTTCCTACAGTTCTTTACAATGTCTTACTCGTAAGGACGACAATATATTGGAAGTTTTCATTCCCAGCCTATATTGTCCAATATTCAATCCTAGGAGTCATAAACAGCTTTATTTGATGCGGTCAGTCAAAAAAGTTAGGGAGTAGTTTTTACGACTTATGTTTTAGCAAAAGAAGAAGAAGAAGAAGAAGAAGAAGATGCTGTTATGATTTTTGAGATTCCAAGTACCTAGATATGTTGTTTCTAGATTGTTTGCTTGTTTATATTTTTACATTAATTTTGCCGATCATTCTGTTATACTCATGACCTGTATGATCTTATTGAGTTTACAGATCTGTCATCAATGAATTGCGGCGGATTAAAGTTGTAAACAAACATAACATGGTAACTTAATTCGCTTTTAATCCACACTGTTCATTTACCCCCAAAACAATGCCATTCCTAATTTTATTGAAATTATATTAGTTACCGGACCCCTTTATCATAGAAGGGGGTAAAAGCCATGTACTTATGCCTGCCATTTCTTTCAGGAACTAGTGATGGATTTGCTACAGTCCATTGTTGAGATAGTCACTTATGGTGATAGACAAGATCCTTTCATTTTTGAGTATGATCCCTTATGCATCATGACATTCTTATCTTCTGATTCTGTTTTGTCTTGATGAAATTTGAGTACTCCTGACTGGTTGTAATTATTCAGATGTTTCATGGAACACCAAGTACTAGCAGAATTCGTTCGTATACTAAAGATCAGTAAAAATTCAAAAATTGAGGCACCTTTGCTTCAATATCTGAGCATACTGATTCAAAATATGGATAGCGAACATTCAATTTGTAAGATGCTTAATTAATTGTTATCCATGGCTAATCTCCTAAAATTTGAAGTTTTACCTGTTTCTGCACATTTGAATTATTATCTAGAAAGTGTTCAATTGCAAGAGCAGGATTAGGACGGTTACTTATATAAAATTAGTGTGACATCTTTACTTGTTGCAGACTATTGTTTCAGCAATGATTATATTAACAACATAATTTCACATCCATTTATCTTTGATGGGGGAGACCTAGCTCCATATTACGTATCTTTTCTAAGGTTTTGATCTATTCATCCTTTCCTATGTTTCTCTCTTTCCTCGTTGTTTTACTCTTCTTCTAACTTTTTGTTGCCTTGTTCATTCAGAGCTGTTAGCAGTAAGGTAAACAGAGACACACTTTGCCTACTTGTGAAGGTTCATGGGGTAAGCTAAATATCATAATTTTATTGTCTTGCTGCTGTATGTTTAATGAACTTTGTCACTTTCTCACTTTTGAACGGGACCTAGGGCTCTTTGCATTGCATTTATCAGGCGATGGTTTTTTTTTTGGCTTGGACCATTAAAGGTTTTATTTCAGTATATAAAGCATCTCATCAGAGGAGATAATATAATGTTATTTTTACTAAGGCTGCAGTCAAACTAGAGGTAGATAGTTCTCCACTTAATATCATGTAGTTCAGGCGTTTTATGATGAATAATTGTGTTGTGAACAGGGAAAACAATCACCAATTTTCTGTAACTATCAGTTTGCAATAAATTGGTAGCATGCTCAGTTTACTGTTGCCTTTTGCTTTTACAGTAGAATTCAATATTCATCCAAACCCTGGTGTGGTTTTTCTGTGATGTTCTATCAACTGCAGGATGTTGTTGTTTCCTTTCCCTTGTATATTGAGGCTCTTAGGTTCGCTCATCACGAGGAAAGAATGATTAAGACTGCTATACGTGCATTAACTCTCAACATTTACAATGGTATACTGTTGTTCTTCTCTAGAAGCTTGCGTTTATGCAATACACTTTTAATTTTAACATTGGCACAATCTTGGTTCTACAGTTAGTGATGACATGGTGTTTCAATTCATAACAACTCCTCCAGTTTCAGAGTACTTCTCTGACCTGGTTTGCAGACTAAGAGATCTTTGCTCTGATTTAGACGCTTGTCTCCATTCTAGAGGGTATGTTTCTAGTGTTTAGTTTATAATTTTTTTAAGATAATCATCGTACTGTTTGTATGTGCTCAAGGGGAAACTGAAGAGATGAATGTTCTGCATTGAAGCAGGGAGATGGACGCTCAAAAGGGAAGAAACAGTCTGATTGTTGAATCTGATAAAGTTGTGGATGATCTATACTACCTTAAAGACATTCTTAGTGTTGGCGAGCCTTGTTTGAGTGGACTTGTTACTGAAAATCTTCTCAACGGACTTGTGTTTCCAATAATAATCTCATTACTGGCTTCAAAGGAGAACAATGTGAGACCATATGTTTTTGATGCTGAATATTTATTACAACATGTCCTGCAAATTAAAAATTCCATTATTTGTCGCTACCCTCTGTTTTATACTATTCCTAATTGTGCTAAATGTTACTGTTGAGTTCTATAGGGCTTAAATTTTTTAAAAGGTGTGGATAGCTTACCTACAACATTGTAAATGAGAAATTAAAAACAAAACAACCGTAGTAGACAACAAAAGTGAATATTTCATGTTAATGGAACTCTTGCATGTCAATTGTTCTTGCTTTATATGGAAAGAGTCTTTCCATATGATGTACTCATTCAAGCAACGCATTATGTGCTCCAGGACTCAAATCTATCTGCAATCACATCTCTATATATCCTGTCTCTTCTTCTTCAAGTCGTTGGTGGAAAGTGTATAATCAATAATGTGGCTGGGGTTATCCTCTATCCTTTCTTGACCTTAAATGTGAGACATCTGAATGAAGGGAATGCGTCTCATGAACCCAGCGATGTTTATCCTTTTTCTAAGCATGTGAATGAAGTCAAAAGAGTTATATGTTGCGCTCCTGAGTGCAAAGGAGCAGAGAGCAATGACAGGAACTATGATGCTCATATAGTAGATTTCATGTCCAGTTTCAATGTTAGCAGCTCCACTGGGGATATTTATCTTAAACGGTTGGTATTTTCTCAGTTTTCACCATTGCTTTTGGCCTAATTCATGAGCGGATTCTATCATAGTGTTAAAAAGTATTATTTTATCTCTTTTTTTAACTACATTGTTGTCTTTGTATTGTGAATAAGTGAAGAATTTGTTGACAGTAAAAGGTTGCCGGCAGTGACTTATCTCATGGCTTTTCAGCATAAATTGATCATTATCTTTTCTTCTTCTTTTGTAATTCATTGATTTTAACATGAATTTCTTTTGTCTGAACAGTCTTCTTTTCTTATGCCAATGCCAGATCTCCATTTTAATTTGTTTCATTTAGATAAGGCTTTGCAAGTCTTTTAGGGCATTTCAAATTACAAACATAGGGAGCTCCTGACATCAGGAGGAAGTGCGTGAAGAACTCAATAGTTTGTGCCAGTGAATGTGATGGACCCCCCTCCCAAAGTTTATGATTAAAAACATAATCAACAGGATGAGGGAGATGGAGGCTGCATGGAGGAATGTGAAACTAACCTTTACAGCAAGGATGGGACACATGTTGGCTTTTGGAAGGAGTTTGTAGGGTCTGAATGAGGATTACCTTGTGGAACAATTACAGTATAGTTTGTGCGGGTGATAGCTCGCATCTAGGCATAACATTATTTAGAGGTTCTCTTCATATTTTCATGTTTTCTGTGTAATGGCAAATCTGACATTCTGGTGGTTTGCTTCTATTTTTGTTAGTAATTCTTCAGTTCTAGTGTGTTCATATAATTTCTGTAGTTTTATGTTTGGGTTTCATCGGATGAAAGTTTCTAGATATTCTCTAATGAAATCTTTATTGCTGCAGGGATGGAATGCTTGCATATATTTTCTCTGACCATTATCCCATGCTGCTAGGTTCTGTATTTTTATTGCTTATTTTGTCAGAAAGTAAAGGTACTATGATTTGATTCTATGCTTGTAGCCTAGCAGTAATCTTCATATGAGTAATTTTTAAGTTTGTTAAACCTACCTTTTGACTGCAGATCTTGATTGTGCATTAGCTCCAGTGATCGGGTTATATAAGGTCTGGAATGTATTTGCATGTTTGGTGTTAGTTAAATGCTGCCTTGAGATTAGCATGACATGTTCTACTTTTGGAACCTTTCCTTTTGCTTACATGTATTCATTATTTAACCAGAATTCAATGCATTACATTTTTTCTCTCTCTCCTCTCTCTGTGTTTCAGTGTCAGACTAATGATGCATCAACATCAACTTCTAAGTCTGCTGATGGAGGTATCTTCATTAAATTTATGCCTGAGGTATATGTAACGTTACTATCAACCCTAGTTCGATCGAATTATTTTTCATTATTAGGTTTTGAATTTGATTTCCATATTAAGTAAGATATGAAAATATCTGTATTCCTCTGAAATCTGCAGATTTTAAATGCTCTATTGAAGGTGTTAGCCTTTCAGCAATCCCTCTCTGCAATGGCACTATGGCATACAGGGTGGTGCTTTCTAAAGCTACTTAGCATTCACAGAGAGGGACTTCATGGTGATAATCTTCACCTGTTCAGTGTAGGTATTCAGCTAGTTTCTGTACACTACTATTATAAGTGGATTTTGCTGGTGTCATATACATATATATATATATATATATATATTTGTAAGTATGACCAAGGAAAATTTGATATGTCTACATGATTAAATTCACCTTTTTGTTTTTTGGCTTTGGTTTACAAGCTATAGGAAGCAAAGATTAATTTCATCATTGTCATTTCAGAAATACCAATTTGTATTGCATCCAAAGTTTCTGAAGTTTTATGTTTTCTAGTTTTCATCAACAGACTTCTTGCAAGCAGTCCCGAGAAGGCTTTCTTAAAGAACTTGATGGAATTTGGTTTGATCATATTCCAAATGCTTTAAGAAGTCAATGGGCAAGTTGTAAAAAAGGTACCTCTCACCTGATTCACTCTGTAGCTGAACCTAGTATGTTTTTATTTGGCGAACTATTTGGGGAATGATTAAAAGTAAAACATGGTAAAATTGGCTGAAAAATACATACATGAAATTCTTTGAAAATGAAAATTGTAACAGTAAAAATTATCCTACATCTAACTAATTCGAATTCAACTCCATGAACTCGTTTCTCTGTGCTCATGCTTCAAATTGCATGCAGTTCTTGAGGAATCTTCCCAGCATAAAGATTCTTTGTTCATGTTGGAGCTCGCTCTCCACCAACAATCAATTAATGGTATTCTCATCTTGAATGAATTCATGGCATCTTCTTCAGAGTACTGATTTTTATTCTATCTTCTCAAAGAGTAAATAAATTTATATTATGACAGGTGAAACATCTTCATATTTTTCTTGGCAAGGGATGATTGATGCAGTGAAGGTGTTGTGATTTATTTATTTTTCCAGTTGTCATGCAGATTGGCTGTGATATTTTGTTTATGATGATTAGTCAGTTTATATGAAGTTCAAATTCATCTTGTGGATCGCCAATATGGTTGTTTCTTATCTCTATGAACATAAGCTATATCTTCGAGTGATGCTTTATGCATGTTTGCTGTCAAATGATAGTCAATTCAATAACATTGAAAAATCGGAGCCTTGTTTTCGTGAAATTCAAAAGTGGTCAAGTGATCTGCCAAACGAAAATAATTTTAACAAATGTTCTCTTCTCTGTCTTTTTTTTTTTTTTTATGCTTACCTGTTATGAGACGTGGAGAAGCCCATGATCAAATGCATGGAATTTATTTGGTTTGATATTTGCAGGTGTGACTCAAATGTCATAACCTCATAAAGTTCATGTTACTTTCTTTTCTTCCCGCACTTTGGTGAAAGATATATTAAAGCTTTGATGTACTTTATCATTCCTGGTTCCTGCCTCGCCCTATGCTAACTGTTATATAAAAATAAAATCCTCCTGAAAAATTTTCTTGCTGTTTTATTTTGATTTCAATTGAAGGCTTCTTGTTGGTCCAATATTTCATTGCTTCTATTAACATGTTATCTAATCCTCATCAAAGTTCTAGAAGGGTACATATCTTATTAATTAAGTGTGCAGGTTTTTATTCTCCATATCCAGCTGCAGTCGTTTATTTCCAAAGGTGTATTAGTTGAGAATCCATTATTGCTGGGCAGTCCTACCACCAATGATTCTGGAGCAATCCATTCTTCAGATGTTTCAAATGCTAGCTTCGGATCAGATGTTTCCTTAGGTTGGCCTCATCTAATTAAACTTTATCTTGTCCCTGGCATCATTTTTCTTGGTCATCTAACCCTACATGGCTTTTGCAGAATCTGGTACGCCCTGCAGAATTGCCTTTTCCAATTCTGAAATCAGGGATATATACATGATACCAGTGGCAAGTGGAATGACTGGAAAGTTGCTTCTTGCCGAGAAACATCCTTTTCGCAGTTATCGTGGAGTTGTTATTGCAATTGCACCATTGGCGGGGTTGAATGTAAGTTAGATGTTATGTTATCTTAAACTTCTAATGGTCAAAACGTAGTTGTCATCATATCTTTATACAATGTTGGCAGATCATTTAAGAAATTTAATAGTGTGAAGATGCCTTTGACCGTTTCATTCTTTCTTGGTTGGTAAACTTCCGTTTCTTATCCAAATGACTCTAGATGTTACCAGATAGGCTTAGGATGGAATAATTTATACTCTTGTGCATTGCCCTGCATATCTTTATGTGATTCTTGAAGAGGTGCTTCGCAAAGAAAACACGTGCGCGCATGCACACTCCTTTTTGATAACTTCAATGGCTCATTTACCGTACTGATAAATTTTGCTCCATCTCAATTGTGAAAATCAAACGGCAAGCAACAAAAAACCATCAAGTAGCCATTCATCTGTGGATGTTGTGCGAGTACATATTCAATATCTTCTGAGCATGTACGATGCATCTGTTCATTTCAAATTTTCATTATTTTTTATTTCCTCCTTGATACAGCCTAAGATAGATGAGGAGCACCCTTCATGGTTGCGTCTTCGAATAAGAGAGTTTGATGCAGAGTTCTATACTAACAAAGGGAATGGAAAGCACCTCAACCCATCTGATCACGTGAAAGATGGGATATGGACTCTCGGTTTCCCAAATAAAAAAGCATGTGAGTCTGCTAAATTAACAATTATGAGTGAAATTACCAAGCAAAGATCAGCTGTAGAGTACATACTTGCGCCACTGCTTCAGTATGATCTTGGATTAGCTGAAACTGAAAGCTGAGGTGATCAAAGCTCTGACTGTAGTTTAGCTCACAATTATTTTTTCCTTTGATTTTCTTTCTTCTCTTTTGTATTCAATTTACTTGTCAAAAGTATTTTCTTTCGTTTCTTATTTTGGTTTTATGAAGTGGAAAAGGGCTTTCACCTTGCATAATGTTGGTGAAGATTTACCATGTCATACACCAATTACAATCAGCAAGGTTGCTTGTGTAGAATGTAAATACGTAATCATTCATATTAACTTCTGTTGTATGTGTTTGAGCTTGCAGAGCGTTTTTTGGGGCCCAGTATTGAGCATATAAGCTAATCACTGCCTCTATCATGTAACTCTGATTTCATGTAGAAACGTGTTTGTTTGTGATACTTGAATTCATATATCTGTGGCAGTTTTTGATTTCTCATGAATTCGTACCGTATGATTTTTCAGTATTTAGTTTTTTTGGCCCGATGTATTTAGTTGTTTACTGTGCTGTGCTAATAATAAATTCTTGTTTTCCTATCATCTCGGTACGATTGCTTTTGTTGGATCTTCAAGTCACAGAAAGGTGGAGATTTGACTAAGAACAGTGAAAGATTTTTACTGTCAAGTGTCAATGTGTTTTGAGAGAGAACTTTTCATCTATTGATCTGCAGTAAGTTGAAAAGTTGAATATGAAGACGAATTAGACGGATGATAATTGATTGTTGATTAATAATTGCACGGTAAGTAAGGTGGGGACAGCAAAGAATCGTGATACTTTTATTTTTCGGGCGCGGGGGGTGGGGAGCGCTGAGTACTTTGATATTATATATAAAGCATTGTGGATCATTATTTTCTTACGTTCATATAATGAATCTTGTGCAAATTTTGCAAAGCCTTCATATTTTTGCGGTGTGACACTAATAAATGATGAATTTTGGTGTAAAAAAGGGAAAAGAAAAATATGTACATGATTTTGAGGTTAAATTCAGTGGTACTTCTTCTAACGGTACAGGGAGCCAAGTTACCCAATGCTTTTTACATGGATTTGGTGTCCACTTCTAGTAATCTGTTCGTTGAAGATATGTTGGACATCATAAATCGCCGTTCTGTTAATTTTTTTTCTAGTCATTGACAATTGGAGAAATGGGGAGGGGAAAATCACTGTGTTTGAATGATAACGAGCTCGGGATATCAAGAGGATCCACAAGTCATCGGATTTTCATTTCATTGACTGAATTTTCCCCAACACGTTCGGTGCTTTATATCTGCAACAATAATTCTTGACTGGTTTCGTCTTCTGAAGTTGCGCCGTCGTTTAGAGTAATGATTCGTAGGTCTAATGATGCGGCCTTTTTAAGTTTTTAATGGAACCCCGGCTTGTAGAGTGCAGTGCAGATATTTAAGCATAAAATAATGAGGAACTTTTGAGTAAAGCAAGTTGTCTGTGGTACGTAATTTCATCGCATTTGCACTAGCAAGGCTGTCATGTCAAAATTAGAGCAACTTTTTCATGCCATTGTGGCCTTTAAAGTGTAAAAGCTGCCCAGCCTGCCCAATACTATTAACTAATCTTTCCCCCCTCCGTTTGGTTTCCCTCTCTCTGATATTGCTTTAGGCCACATGGCCACGTAGAGACCGAAGATGCTTATTTGAAGGCTCGAAAGCATAAAATGAGCGGCCCTTTTGAGTAGATAGTGCCATATTTTACTTTTAATACTGCTTTATGATAGAGCACTTCACTTTAACCAAAAGATGAGGTGAGGATATATTAATTTTAGAGCTCTAAGTAAAATTTGTGCTTGCAGGAAAATCAAGGAGTCTGATAGCGAAAGAAGAGAAAAGACAGTCCTCACTTTCGCTTTCCCACAAATAACATGGTGCCCAAGCAAAGACTTAGCTCTCAAAAAATTAGGATGCCTCCTTTATTTATTTTGAAAAAGTGAACCGTTATTGGTGGGGGAGAGAGAGGAGTGATGGGTTAGGGTGTGCTCTAAGTAAGTGTTTCTATTTATCCTTTTTCGTTCAAACACTCCTTTTCTAGCATAGCAGATCAATGCTTTGTGTTCAAATAATTTGCTGCCCTTTGCAAGTCTTTTTAGGCCAACAAAGATAGGAGAAACTTTTTGACTGGAAGCCCGAGCTGATAGCTTCTATGCTTATGCTAGCTCTCACCCACCCAGCCATGAGGGAATAAATGGTTGCGACATTTGGATTACCTGTTTCTGTAAAGTAACTTCCAACTTAGAACACAAACAAACTCCTTATTTTATTTATCATTTTTGATCACGTGCCAGTCATGTGCAGCGCAAACAACTGTCTCTTTCATTCACGCTTCACCGACTCTCATCTTCATTTGGAACCTGAAACACTACTGAAAAACATATAGCATCTCCGATCCAGCCGATCAACTGAACAATGTCCCAAAAGAGAAGGTTTGTCTCTATATTTACATATAGTCCTGTCCTTTGTATATATGGCTGATAAAATTGGCAATGATGGGGTTAAAAGATTCTCAAACGTGATGAGTACTTCTTGGTGACATTAGACATTTGGAAATTGGAATGCTTACTTATACATGCACCTTCTGGGCTCCCTTAAAAGATGACATGCGACCCTTGGTTATTGAAGTGGCTTGCTGTTTCTGTACTGAGTGCTTATCGACTTGGCTGCCCATTATACCAGTCACTCGGTTTCATGATTGTTAGATCATTTCGGCCTCTTCTCTTTAGTCTAATGTTCTTTGTTTAGCCTATTTTGTTGGCTGCTTTTCTTTCGAGGTGAGATGCAGCTGTGACATGACTTTTAACTTGATGGATGCGCACATTAATGATATTGATACGTCATGTGTCACAGTATAAAACAAGAGAAAGTGGAGTCCATGATTGAGGAATGAAAGGGAGATATCTGCATACAGAAGTATTCTCTCATGTCTTTATGGAATTTCGATGTGTTTTATCCTTTTCGTGAACACCAAGACGCTAGGGGAGCACCGAGTGGTGCTATTGCCTACTCTGTTTTCTATGCAAAGGCAACGTTGAACCCAATCCTTGCTTCAATAAAATGGACACAACTATCTAAGATGCCCACAAATCAAACTCTCCTTCTCTCCAGGGGACTAAGAAGAATAAAATTTCTTAGGCTCTTGTGCTTTATTCAGCTCTCTCCCATGTATCAGTGGGCTCTTGATCGATTAGCTGTTGTAGCTCTCAAATCTCGATCTTGACGTCTATGTTACCATTTATTATATGCTGCTTGATTCTATAATGAGAGCTTTTAATAAAGTAAAAAAAAAAATCATATATCATTAGTAGTTAGATCAAGTAAAATGTAAGTAAAGCTGATTACACGAATCTTGTAATGGAAATAAATTATGATATTGGGGATATTCTTGCTTGAGCCAAACAAGACTTAATTCAACTTCGTAGTATCTGGCTACATGCTATCAAATAAGTAAAAAAATTATTAATCTTACAAAAATAGTAAGTACCCTCCAATCTTTTTTACAAGTCATTTTGCAATAAAAGATGAATCATTTATTGTCTTCTTTCAATTTTACTCATTCATAATTTTCTATGAGTAGCATAAAATATTGCATATATGAAATATAAGTATTTTAAAAATGACATGTTTAATAAAGGTAAAATAGAAAATTTATTTCTTTTCTAAAAAATATCAATAATATATATATATATATATATTAGTATCGGTGAAGTAGTTGCAGGTGATTTGTATACAAAATGATAGGCAATATTGACCCAAAAATTGAATGATCCATGATGATTAACTATAGTAGTCTGGTTGATATAGCACAATAATATCATGCCATTCATGTAACCAATGCCATCTACTAGGATAAGATTTGTTATTTGTTGTACTAGATGAAACATAATCAGCCAAATTAATTAAGCAATGATGATAAGGGCACAATAGAGAGGGAATTAGGATGAGCAATTATTTGAAATTTATTACTCTGAAAATGATTGCCATGAGGAAGAATCAGTAAAAGTAAAACTCATGATTATATTTGGAAAACATGGTTACCATAGTAATATTATCAATCTGGCACCCACGCCTCGTTTTTGTATGAAAAGTTGCAACTCTGTGTTTGACTTGGCCCTAGTCTGGTCTTCTCTCCTTCGCTGCCTGCTCCCAACGTATTGGCGTAGATCTGACCGTGACAAGGATATATTTGACACGTAAATCAATTTGTGCGAGGTAGCCCACGTCAATCAGATCAAAGTAAAAAAAAAGAGCCCATGGGATTTATCACTCGTTTTCTGACGGTTAGAGAGCTTCGAATGGGTGGCTTTTTTCTTATTTGTGGTGAACGAATAATTAGGGCAAGAATAAAAATTGTAACTTTAGGGAATAATAAAAAAAAAGAAAGAAAGAAAGGAAAAAGAGAGAGAGAATGTGGGATACGAGGAAGAGAATGTTGGGTATAATCCCCATGCAGGGTGATGCATTCAAAGTGCAAAGTTGAAAGGTGTTTATTTAAGTTGTGTGTTGGAATTCCATAAAAATAAGGAAGGCCATTGGGAACACTTTATTCCCTTGTCTTTGGGTCTGAAAGACAATCGTACACAGTTCCTGATCCCTTCTCCCAAATCAAATAGTTATACTCTCCCTCTCTCTTTTAAAAGCTGCTCTCTCCCTCTCTCTCCCTCTCTCCCCCCAACACATATGCATAAAGGAGCACCACCCGTTTATTTGAGGCTCTTAAATTGCAATCGACCTCTCGAGTTTAATTTCCTCTCTGTGTTGCAATGCAACGCGTGTTAGCGCTGCAGAATTGCCATATGATTCGAGTCTGATAGCAATAGTACAAAGACTACACACTATGATCGGAGTTGCCATTTGCAATTAACCCGTAGAAATATTGATATGAGTCAAGAACAGTACGTTCTCAGGCCCAAAAAACATGTACGTGCGGGACTTGTTCCTCTTTACCTAACAAACGGAAGATAATATATACTAGTACTGGTTAATTTTCTTCCCTCTAATGTATTAGTGACTAATTATTACCAATGGGATGAGCGAAGGAAAGAAGGATGTTGCCAATGGCATATTGATTAGTACGTTATTATAAGCACGATGAAAAGATATTAATTGTACTTGATATGCACAGTAAAATTCATAACTGAATGGCCCACTGAGAAGGGCAAATACCGTAACTTTCTTTTTTAACGAGTACGAGAGGGAGAGAGAGGAAAGCTGAATTGCCTTTGATACTGATGCATTAGCCCTGCCTGTCAGCACATGCAACCCACTTTCTACGACAAAATCCACTTTGGACCCCAAAATTTAACCTCGCCTCCAAGAAAAGCACATCCCACTCCCTCTCATAAATTTCCCACTTCTCTCCCTCCCTCTCTTTTACACTCAAACCCACCACCACCTTCTTCTCTCTATATTTTCTGATAGACCATCACACAACTAATGCATGGTCATTACACTCTCTCTACCCTGACACCCACAATCTAACTTCTGGTCATCAGTACGTTGTCCCAAGATGAGAACAGGTAACTGCGCCGTCCACCAGGGTCTCACCGCAGAAGCTGCGGCCATCGTCAAGCAGGCCGTGACGCTCGCCAAGCGTCGCGGCCACGCCCAAGTCACCCCCCTTCACGTGGCCAACACCATGCTCGCCTCCGCCAGCGGCCTCCTTCGTTCGGCTTGCCTTCAATCCCATTCCCATCCTCTCCAGTGCAAGGCCTTGGAGCTTTGCTTCAATGTCGCCCTCAACCGCCTTCCGGCGTCCAACACCGCAGGCGCCATGTTAGGTCCCACCTCTCTCTACTCTCACTGCCCTTCCATCTCCAACGCCTTGGTGGCCGCCTTCAAGCGAGCCCAGGCCCACCAGCGCCGTGGATCCATCGAGAATCAGCAGCAGCCGCTGTTAGCCGTCAAGATAGAGCTGGAGCAGCTCATCATTTCCATCTTGGATGATCCTAGCGTCAGCCGAGTCATGAGAGAAGCTGGGTTCTCCAGCACTCAAGTCAAAAGTAATATCGAGCAAACTGTGTCCTTGGAAATATGTTCTCAAAAGGAACAAAACACTGCCACCAAAACATCGGTACCGATGGATCCGGTTAGGTCCGAGGATGTGTCGAGTGTGATAGGTTGTTTGGTGAATCAGAGAAGGAGAAGTACGGTGGTCGTGGGAGAGTGTGAGATCAGTCTTGAAGGTGTAGTACGAGGAGTGATGGATAGGGTTGAAAAGGACGATGCTGGTGAGGGTATGAGAGGGGTCAAGTTTGTTTCTCTTTCTCGTTCTGCTTTTGGGCATTTGTCCAAAGTAGAGGTGGAGAGCAAGATTGAAGAGCTCAAGAGCCTTGTTACGAACAGTCGTCATTGCAAAGGGTTTATTTTGTATGTGGGAGATCTTAAGTGGCTGTTCGAGTACAAAAGTCGTTGGAGCCAGCAAGGAAACGGGTGCTATTGCCCAGTGGAGCACATGATAGTGGAAGTGGGAAAGCTGGTGAGTGGAGAGAATAACAATGGAGGGTTGAGGTTGATGGGAATAGCTACTTTTCAAACTTACATGAGATGTAGAAATGGGCATCCATCGCTGGCGACTCTCTGGGGACTTCATCCTCTTACTATTCCTGCAGGAAGCTTGCACTTGAGTCTCGTTACTGACACTGACAGGTATACCCTAGTTGGTAAAGTCGGATGTAATTTACCGCTTTAATTCTCTTACTTTTATATTCGTCGTCTCCAAATTAAAACGTTTCCGTCTTCACATCAAATAATTGATATTGTGCAAAAGAAAAATGAGAAAGGGAAGTTGTCTTTTGCTTTAGAAGGTTAAAAAGAGATGTCTACACGATAAATACGATTGCTAATTAAAGAAACGGGAAAAATGTCAATTATTTCGTTTTCTTTGTTTCTCAACTATAGTCTACGAGTGAAGGGGGAAAAATCAATAGCAAAAAATCTTTGATTAAAAAGTGTGTTGTGAAAAGAGATGTCAGTCATCATAGCCTTGTTTTCCTTCACTGATTGATTAGAAGTAACGAGAAAAGAGGTTTTCCTTCTTTTCCCCCCACTAACATTATTGAATCTTTCAATTTTAATTAGTTTTTCTTTTGGATTATTCCCTTTTCATTACACTGTACTATTCTCTTGAGGAATGGCTTGGTTATTAGAAGGCAAAAAATGATGTTCATAAAATAAATTGTCCCTTTTATATAATATCGGAAAAATGAAGTTCACTCTTTTAATTTTCTTTCAGTGATCTACAAAATCAGTCCTCTAACAAGAAAGCTGAGGGCAATCGAACTGGCTGGCTGTTACCCGAACCAGGGGTAGAGAAGCAAGCGGCGGCTTGCTTGGCCGAGCCTTCTCCCAAGTTTGAGCTACAAGTTCGAAGTTTGCAGAGCAGTACCTGTAACAGTGACTCATCCCCAACTCTTCCTGCATGGCTCCAACAGTACAAACATGAGAGTAGAGCATCCTCCAATGATCAGGTTTTACTTAGATCAGAGCTTATATACAATGAGCACAACATAGAATTCACACACACACACACACACGTATTCGTGCGTGTAAAATATCCTTTGGAAAGTATTTAATTAAATTTTCTTCTTGTAACAGAACTGTGTCCCAGTGGGAGGCCGCTGTAAAAAGTGGAATTCTTTGTGCAATAGTCCAATCCAGAAACAAACCTATCATTGTGAAAAAGCCTTCACATTCTCCCCTGTATCACCCTCTTCATCTCCTCCAGGCTTCTCATATAACCCGCCAAGAGACCAGCCTTTCTGGATCTCTGAAAGTGGCAATAGTAATAATAAGCCAAACGAACCAGCTCTGAGAATGTACATCCCAGATCATAACAGCGCCAAACAGTCATTCCCACCGTCCTATCCAAGTTCAAACCCTAATTCCACTTCATCTAGTGATCTCCTGGAAACGGAATATGTGAGCAGGTTCAAAGGGCTCACTTCAGAGAATTTCAATACCCTATGCAATGCCTTGGAGGAAAAAGTCCCGTGGCAGAAAGATATAGTACCGGACATCGTAAGCACCGTTTTACAGTGCCGGTCTGGCATGTTAAGAAGAAAAGAAAAGATCAGAAACATCGAGGTGAAGAAAGAAACGTGGTTGTTCTTCCAAGGAGTTGATGTGGAAGCCAAAGAAAAAATAGCCAGAGAACTAGCTACGAAAGTATTTGGGTCCCATAGCAATAACCTCGTTTCAATAGCTTTAAGTAGTTTTTCATCAACAGGGGCAGATTCAACAGAGGAATATGTCAGAAACAAAAGATCAAGAGACGAACGAAGTTATTACGTTGAGAGATTCGGGGATGCAGTTTCTAGCAATCCTCACAGGGTGTTTCTGCTGGAGGACATCGAGCAAGCGGATTATTGTTCTCAACTGGGTTTCAAAAGGGCTATTGAAAGAGGAAGAATAGTGGATTCAAATGGTAAAGAAATCAGCCTTTGTGATGCAATCATCATTTTCAGCTGTGAAAGTTTCAGCTCGAGGTCAAGACCGTGCTCTCCTCCGGTTAAGCAGAAGTTATTATCTGAAGCATCTGAAAAGAAGGATGATAGTATTGCTACTGTCGAGGAGACGAGCCCTTGGGTGTCTTTGGATTTGAACATATCTATTGATGATGACTGTGAGGAGGATCGCCTAGCGGGTTACATGGGGCTTCTTGAATCCGTAGACAGACGGATTGTCTTCAAAACTCGCCAGGAATTATGAGGGGTTGAATAGTATCAAATGTTTTATTCTTTTGATCAGGTTTTGTCATGCCACGTGTCTTTGGATTCCCAGGCATTTAAGGCTGTAGGTGAAAAATTTGTACGCCCCTTAGCCGGCTTCATCTTGTAAACTATATGTATATTATTACCAAACTTCATATGTGATATATATATATATATATAGGACTTTGGGAAATTTTCTTTCTTTTCTTTTCTTTCTTTCTTTCTTCTTGAACGGTACTCAGCTAACTCATTAGTCATTTCAGTTTGACTTCCATAACTGATATGGCTTAAGAATAAAAGGTACAGTTATCTTTTTCTTCCGGCTCATTTATAACATGGGTCCTCTCAAATACATATATGTGCATGAAACCGCGACGTGCGCTATATATGCTGGATATAACAGTTCAATAAGGAGCGTACAGCAAGTTTTCCTTTCTTTTTTAGTATGGTCTGATTAACTGAGTTGAATCGCCGCAGGAAGATGTATGATACTATGACCCATTATATATATAAATATACATGCTTTAATTAGTTCTTTAAACATAGTAGAAAGCTCGATCGTTTGATTATATTCTCTGGTTCAATTCTAAACCCAAATCCTTCCATGAATAATATTTAATGCTTTGGTGATTTCATTTAATCAAGTAAATATGGTTTTAATTTGTACCATAAAAATGGAGCACACAAGGTGCATTTTCCTGTCATCATTTAAGTGAGAAATGATCCCATACATAGAAAATTAAAACCAAGAGCTAAATCTAATATATACTGTACATAGTGAGATAAAGTTTTGGTTGCTGTTGTTTTAAAAAGGAAAAAGGAAAAAGAAAAAAGAAAGAAAATTGAAACGACTGCATGATCATTGATTGCGTTACAACTCTCTTGGCTTTATTTCTCTGTGCTTGATTATTAGGGCCTACCAGTTGTTGTTTAACCGGCGTGAATCAAATAATCGGTATATTCGAGAGAAAGAATAAAACAACCTAGATAGCTCGATTTCAGATTGGGATAAGGGGGTAGTCATTTCTTTCTCCTGCCTCAAAAAGTTGTAGGATTTTAGAATTCCTGTGAAAAGACAGTTTCCCATTGAAAGCAGTCTTACACACGAACCTCGTCACAACTTACATGATCTAAATGAAAATTTTGAAAGCTTAATATAATAGCCCATGTCAGAAAACACTGGGATACATATAAGATCCCTAATATCACGAATTAAATGTTAGGTTAATTTACATTTCCCCTTTTTGCTCACATATATCACGAATAGTTTTAAATATATACATATAGTGTGCAGCGGACAGACATGTACAGTCTATTAGCAATTCTTAAACATGCGCCATTAATTAATTCCGATGCTGCAAATTAAAGTGTTAACATCAGAAATGGATCACCAGCAGCTAGCCCAGTGTCTGTTGGGTTAGTAGATATTTAAGGTTGAATGGTAGATCTATAGCAAGAGGATAATGATGACGAATGCACTTTCACTTTATTCCAAATTGTGTGCTCTAAATATCCTACGGGAGCTAAACTTTACTCCTTTTCATTTATTAATTATAGCATAGCGCATCAACTATATCATACTTTTTTAACTTTCCGATCAACTACGACTCAACATGAAGCTTACTCTGGTTACCATTTGCATAAATTCGTCTCGCTGTCCATTAATTTATTCTACTAAAGAATTTATATATTGCATATATACACCTGGAATGACTAATGAACATTATCCATTATGCTAAATCAACCAATTAATTATAGGTCCGCATAGTCAGTCGATCAAGACTTCAGTAATTTGAACTTTAATATCAAATTTAAATATTAATTATGGCACGTGTACGTAGAAGTTTCAGTTTGGATGTAAAGATTTTTTTCCAGTTCTATGCATAAATACATACATACATACATACTTCTTTGATATATACACTGCCGGAGCCACTGTATAAATTTTATAATTTTATACCTCCTATTCTTGATATTTCGCCCCTTCTAAACTAAATAAAAATATTTAAATTCAAAAGCTTATTATAATGAATGAAATAAGATATGAATAGCATATTCATATCAAATATAATATAATTAACATGTTCAATATAATTTTTTTAAAAAGAAAATGAGGATCAATCTATTTATGTTATCACGATTTTAATACTAATATAATTATTATCTTTTACAAATTATTAATTTGTTAATTAAACTATCTTGCACCTCTAACTTCAAGCCTTGGCTCCGCCAGGCCACTAAATATATATATATATATATATATATGTATGGTGAGCGCATGACTTCATGATGTTTGCTTTTGTCCGATAATTAATCTGAAACATAAATCAGTAGTATTTCTTATATGTGTGTGTATATCTAAACACCCGTGCGTGGCCTACATCTACTTCTGATTTAAATTGTACAATTCATCTTAATTACTGTGCACTTAACCACGGCAATATTAATTATTGAACTGGACATGCAGGACATCATAGTTAATTATTGTGCGATCCATAACGTAATGTTTATGCAAATAGGAAGTAACTTTTCCACTTCGGAAGAAAAAAAAGTAAAATCTTCGCCAAGATAGCACAACTTTTCATGCTATGATACATTTTGCAAAAGAATAACTTTCTTTCTCGGAATTTCGAAACCCAACATTCTCTCATCCTCGGAAAGCAATAAAAGGTTGCGGTGTGAGAGTTCAAAATAATTACTAGTATATAATGGGAAATTTAAAGTATGGGGAAAAAGATAGATAAGCATCTTCTCTTTAAAACCCACAGACGTTGCTGCTTTAGAATCACTAAAAGATCATAATCTTCGCGCAACATGAATTAAAGCCCTTGAGCGTAAGTAGAGAATTTGTCGCTTATATGCGGCTTTTCAAAAGAATTAGTGTCATTTGTGTGGTGCACATAGGTGGGGTTTCAGTGAATGCTTTTTCTCTTTCTCTTTTGCTAAATCTAGCTTAACCGTATTATATATGTGCTCTTGTACCTTTTACTCCTCTCTTTTATCTTTTTTCTTTCTTTCTTTCTTTCTTTCTTTTCGCTGCTTGTGAAGCCTCCATCTTAGACTAGACTGCCTTTCTCTTTATTTTGTCCATCATCGCTTATTTTTCTCCTCTCTTCTTTAATTTGTTCCACTTTCTTCCCAACACTTGCTTGCTCCGATGGCAATAGACAACTGATGGGTATCTTCGTATCTGATTCTTTCTCCAAGTAGACTTGTTGTGAAAGGAAAAACAATAATTGACGCATTTCATCATATCAAATCGATCCATGTGTGAGTTACCCTATAGTAATATTCCTTCTTATACATGTTGGATGAAAAGACATATGGGGCTGGAATCTAATTTCCCTTAAAAACAGGGAGATAAAGCTGGCACCTGATTGAGATATGCTTAAAAATAAAACTGCAATAGATTAAAGTATATCAAACTTGAGTAATAATTGTGGAAAGCGGTTTACCCTTTCAGCCTATTAATTGCAACACGCGATTCTGGCTGTAATAATATATTTTAACTCTTCCTTTCAGAATAACTTGGATATGCGAGTTTTCGGTCTTCGCTGCAGCAGAATAGCCATTCGTTTGTTATGAGTACAGTAATTCGACGTCGTTAGAATAACACAAAATGGGAGGAAATTAAGGTGCCACGGCGGCAGCAGAGTGATCTAACATGGGGTTGGAAAAATACGCCTGTTTGGCTTGCTTCCTTCTCGCCGCTGAGAATGAAACATGAAGCGCATTTGGGCTCGCTAATTGTTTGTTAAGTTCCTCTTCTACTTTTCTTTTTTTTTTTTTTGTTAGAATGCATACAACATCACCTAAGATAGTTACATATAATTTCCTAAATATTTTTAAATATTTAAAATTAATTACTAAAAGGTTTATTGAAAATCGAACTGAACTGCATTAACAACACGATCAATTGTTAATGTAATTCAATTCAATTATCAATGAACCTTGTAATAATTAATTTCTTTATGTGAGACCTGGTTGTAATTCTCCTAATTTCTTAACCTTTAATCTTGTTTTTCAAAATCTGCTACCATTAGTTTCTTAATCTTGTTGCATTATTGATAAAGTTTGTCATGTCAGATTAAGAAAATCTACATAAAAGCTTACATGGCATTTTATGTAAGAAAATAATAAATATATAAAATTTATATTATTTTTTAAAGGATAAAAATATAATTTTGCCCTTAAATTATTCTCAGAATAGTAATGTTGTCCCTAAACTAATTAAATCGGAATAATATTGCTCCCACCATTTAAACACCTATTACTATAACTAGTAAGACTCACTTTTCATGAGTTAAGGTGTAATTTTATTCTTAAACTATTTTTAAAAAGGCAATATTACCCTCACCATTTAAAAATCATAAAATTAAATAAATATAAAAATATAATAATATTAAATAAAAATAATATTATATATAAAATAAATATAAGAAAAAATTTTATAGTATGTTGATAAAATATCATAAATTAATAATATTATAAATTATAATTTCATAACTCGTCAAATATAAGTTAATTTTGGTTAAGTTAATAATATAAATGATATGAGTAGACTCAAAAATATTTATATTTGTACCTATAACTATTGACCGGAGTCATCGTTAACGACTTGAGTTGGACTAAAAAATTATTTTCATAATTGAATTGGATTGGAGAAAGGTTAAGCTACTATTAACCTAAAAATTGAGTTGAATTGAGAATCGAAGCGATTTTCAAAAAATCAGACGGTTTTAAATATAATATTAAAAAAAGCTTAAAAAATTTAAAAAAGTAAAAAAGTTCAAAAATTAGATCATATTAAAAGCTAACTTTATTTTTAAAAAAATTCATATGTATAAAATATGATTTAAGATCATGTTTTTATAATGATGTCGATAGTTATAGGTATAAATGCAAATATTTTAAATTCTACTTATATCTAATTTAACTAAAATTTACTTATATTTACAAGTTATAAAAATTATACATTTAATATTATTTCTATTTAATATTATTTTAATTTTATATTTATATATACATTTGATATTATTTTATTTTATTTTATGATTTTTAAACGTTGAGACTAACTTAGGAATAAAATTACACCTTAACTCATGAAAAATAGATTTCACTAACTATAATAATGGATGTTTAAACGATAGGGGCAATATTGTTTTAATTTAATTGATTTAGATATAACATTATTATGATGAATAGTTTATGAGCAACATTGCTCCTTTATTAAGTTTAAGTTTGCATATTAACCATTTTTTAAATATTTATTTTTGTATTAGTTTTATCTTTTT